ATAATAATAATAATAATAATAATAATAATAATAATAATAATAATAATAATAATAATAATCCTCTATAAGAACGAATTGTAACTTGTCCACAGGAAAAACAAAAAATCAGATGAATTAACTAAATGCATGTCTCAGTATATTATCCTCTGCAGTTAACAACTAATCCTTTCAAATGAATGAATTCCTAAACTGACTTCCTCCACCCCCAAAACCCGCGCTCGGCGGTGGCCCATCATTCCTCACGTTTTCGCCATGCGCCTGATCGTTTCTCATCCGAACCCAAGGAGGGCCCGGCTTAGCATGACTCCACTTTTGCTGTCTGAAGAATTTCCTTCCCAAGCTATGGGAGCTCGTGTCGCGTTGGAAGTCCAGGCCCACCGGAGTATTCAACTGAGGTGGGTCCACACCGGAGAATTTTTCTGCATGTTCACTGAAGACGGGCCTGGATTTAGTGCCCATTGGTTGTGGGCCAGCTTTCATGTAAGTAGGCAGCGGAGGAAATGGGTGGAAAGGCAGACCCGGGGCCACTTTCAAGCTCACGACATTTTCAGCCTCATGCACGTCAAAATGCTGCAACATGGAATAGGGAACTCCATAGGACAAAGGCAAACTTGCTGCGAATTTCTCCTGTGAATTTCCCAAAATGGTACCAAACGGAGGATTTGCTTGATCTCTAAACTTTTTACACGGAGACGAAAATCCAGGAGGGGCAGATTCGTCATTACGCGGGGACGAGAAGCCCGGAGGAGCGGAATCGTAATCAGGGGGAGGGATGTCCCATCGGCTCTTGCGTTTTCGTACTCTTGGTTGGGTAGTTTCATTGGTATTGTTGTCAGAAGAATGCTTGGGGGGTGGAAGGTCCACTACTGCACCAGATGATGATGAGGCCATAGGTTCTGCTGCAGATTTTTCGACTCGACTGTTCGAGTGATCGTGTGACGAAGAACCTGATGGTGGCCTGCCGTGACCTGAATTCTGAGGAAATTCAACTTTGACATCGTCCGTTTTGATGAAACATTTTCTTCTCAGGTGTCTTGGGATCCATCTATCACGGAAGTCACGTGCGATTTGATGGACCTGAGAAGGGCAGTGATATAAATTTAGAAATTTCGGCCCTGAATTTTTTTAATAGTTTGCTGGCAGGACAAAAAATGCATTATTTCTACTTAAATGCCAAAGAGAAAGCAAAATGAATTTTCTTGATAATGAAAACAGTACCTAAACTAACTCAGAAAGAATCATCATAAACGAGAAATCAATAGTTTTCAGAATAAAGAAGAGATCCAATGCAACCAGAATTTGATCGAGCTGATTTTTTTTTAATCTATTGGCGGTGAAGTGTATTATGAGATTTTATTATGCCACTGAACATGAGAGCCGAGAAGTGGATACTGAGAACAGGATTTCTTGCATTACCTGCCTGTCACCATGATCCATCAGCGTCAATATTGAATCTCGAAAGCTGCAATCAGAGAATAGGATCCGTTTTGAGGACAACATATTTGCTAAAAAAAAAAGGAACGCACTCATACTAATCAGGGTTCCAAATGATATCAGACCAGGAAAGGTGCGTTACTGCTCGCAATGCAAGAACCATACAAAGTTTGGTCTGGTAATAATAATTGTTGCGTAAGTAAGCATATTAAGATTGAAGGTGATGCTAAAGCACCTAATTTCATTGGGACACATTTCACACTTCATTATATTCCATCCATATATACCATTGTCTGAACCTCAAGAAATTATTGATAAAGACCCCTCTTTCAGCAGTCAGCACAGAATGAAAGTTACAACTAGCGAGCACATTTTGAATTCCGGCATCTAAGTGAGACAGAAACATCGATGTCCTCTCCAACTACAGCTTCTTCAATAATAGAGACTAATATTCTCATGCATAGGTCCTATGTGACTCAACTCCCACTTCCTAATATTCAATTTTTCAGTTTGCTTCTTTATTTATGATTAGTTGACTGGATCCATCAAACTATCTTTATAGTGTTCAGACTTCAACAGCTTTCACCAGCCCTCATATTTGCCTAAGCTACACACTACAGCAGGACAGTCCCATAAAAGGCATACCTTCAGGCACTTAAGAGGGCATCTTACATAAACTGAGTACAGTATATATACCAGGCAAAGTGTGACTCTCACTACCAGATAAGGATGCTAAAGCGAAACCAACAGTATACAAATATTGAGGTTAAAAGACAACTATTAAGCTCCTCATCAGATGACAAATATTACCATACTGAGTATTTCACATGCATAGCACCAAGTTTGCGGATATCTTCGTTCAAATAAAAATTATCTAATCATAGAGCAACAATAACAGTAACGGATTTTCTTTTTACCTCTCCACTCCTGGACAAGGTGGACCTCCAGTTATGTGCTCTAAATTAAGAATCTCCCTTGTTGCCAGATACCCGATCACCTACGTAGAAACAAGAAGTGAACAGAAGTTAATAATTTTAACTACTGCTACGTCTGTAACATTTTGATGATAATTCTAAAACATTCATATTTCAAAATTATGTTAAAGCGACACTTTCATACATATCATCCACTAAGAATACATTGGAAACTAAAAAACTTGCATTTACCAATCTCACATGTGCATAATAGTAATGATACACATCTGAGGTCATCCATGTAAGTATCCGTACAAAATTAGCTATTAATTCCAATGCATGTTGACAGATAAGATTAACCTCTAAATACTTTGGGCCAAATAAGAAACTTTGTCAGATGACAGTAATTCCCAGGAATTAAAGGTTCTTTCAAGTCACCTTGAGAAGCTTGCGCAGTATTGGGGTTTTGTTAAACTCTTTTCTGTACCGCTTCATTATGTTGTGCAACATTTGCAAACCTATAGACCACAAATTCACTCATCAGCCAAAGATAAAGTAACATAGAGGCAATCTGGCAACAAAACACTAAGGGGATGTTTGGATACAAATTTATCTAAAAATATCCAATCTATTTCAACCAATCACTCATTTTAACTCAAATCTAACTCAACTTCTACTCAACTCCACTATTCTCAAGATTATCAATATAATTAAATAATATCAATCAATCATTCTTATATATTACATCAACATTAATTCACTATTCATCCACTCACATAATTTTAACTAATCATCACTTCACATCACCTATCTCCTACTTTTACATTAAATCAACTTTAATTTTCTTTTTTTTTTTAATATTATTCTAATATATACTCAAAATTTCACTGAATAATCATACTATTTTTTTAAAAGATTACCAAAACAAAAAATCCAATCAAAACCAAAAAAATTTATATCCAAGCACCCCCTAAACAATTACCATTCTTGTTAATTATATCAACCAGAACAGTCCTAGACTTGGTCTTCAAGAGTGCATCCAATATCATGGAGAGGTCCCTATTACTGCAAAAGACACATCAAGCATCAATCCAGTTAACATACTCATTGACAAGTTACTGATCCTGTGGGCGGATGGGCCCAGAGGGTGGGGTTTACATGAGCATAGGCAGTTTTACCTCTGGATAGCTTCCCCATGACCACTAGTCCCTGAGGCAGCTGTTAGAAACAGAAGCTTCAAGTAACCTCTTGATGCATCCTGCAAACAAAAGGGAACTTAGACATGGAACACAAAGGAGGATCAAGTGCATATGTAGCAAACCATAACACCAAATTACCAATACAAGCTATTTTTATGAAATCTGGCATGCATATTGGATCTTATTAAACAACGGGTTTGGGTGACACCAAAAATTAGACTTGTTGCTTCAATATGCAGAAACAAAATGACATCAGAAACCTTGCAAGAAAAAAATAGAGAACGCGGAAAATTTAGTACTTACCTTTCGCTTGCTTATTCCTCCCTCAGTGTCTAGCAACTCATTCAGTTTCTTCTCAACTACAATCCATATGTAATGTCATTTCAAGTAAAAAACATATTACCACAAAGAGAAGTACAGAGCAGACAACGGTTACCTGTTTCGACACGACTGTTTAAGGTGACATCTGGTGAACTTTTAGCTTTCTGACTTTCTGCATTTGACTTGTCCAAAGCTGGACTGAGTTTGCCATTCACAAGATTCGATTTAATCTTCTCTTTCTTGATTGAAAACGGTAAACGCGTCTTAACAGCAGGACCAGACTTCATTAATTCCTCCTTTACTCCTGAAGTAGCATATTTCACCTTTCTCTTAGATTCAATTGTATTAGGCTGCAAATTGCTAGCCAGTGTCTTGACTGTAACCTCCTTTCTTGGAGTATGCTTGCTAAACAAGTCGTCGGGTTCATCATCATCTTGAACCATGTCTGCAGCCTCCCTAGCAGTTGACATATTAAAGGATCCATCACTGCAAGCAGAACTAACAGCCACTTTTTCAACTAAAGTTTCTGAAGTGATATTCTCTGATTGAGCAGCAACATTAAGCTGCTTTTTCCTTCGATCTCTGTTTTCTGGAGGTTCATTGACAGTTTCTTTTTCTATATCACGCAAGGAATTTGATATTATGTCATTCCAATCTTCTTTGATTTCTCTATCATTCCAGGTCATAACAGGTTCTACAAATTCTTCATCTGAGTCACCCTGAACAACTACTTCAGAATTCGTTAGATCTCCACCTATGTAGCCCCGACAATTAGGTGAACCACATATACATTTTTTTGCAGCAGCACCGAACACGCGTACATAGTTGTAATCAAATGTGACTTCTTCACCCTGGCATAAAGACACGGAAAATGAATAGAACACAATATCTTCATTGCGATGCTACCAACAATAGACAAATATTGTTCCAACTACAAATAATGATTATGGGATAACATCTTTTCACCAACCAAGCACATTACACATTATCACATACAACAGCCAATTAATTTTGATATGCTGGCATACGAGAAGAGGTTTTAGAGAAATGATTGGAAGAGACATTGCTGTAGATATAAAAGCTACGTTAATAGGACACAAACAAGCATAAGTACAACTAGTCTAGATATGAGGAAAATGATTTGCCACAGGTATCAGAAGAGGTTACCTTTTTTATATCCCTGACGGCAAAAAGTCCAACACAAACTTCTCCATTCACCATCCACTATCAAAGCATACATAAATTAAGAGTTAATAATTTTCAAGCCCAAAATCATGTATTAGTTTTTCTCCAAATAATGTGAGTATGTGACCACGGTTAAGAAATCATAGACACAGTGTAATATCACCTTTCTAAACCGCAAACACCAATAGCTTGGGATTCAAGAAGTAAAACATGAAAAGGAGGCAAAAGATCAAATATCGATATAGGTTAGAGGTCAAGATGGTTGTTGATAACATGTGAGACAAGAAATTCATAGTCAAGAAACTAAATCTTTTGATACTGGTCAGTGGTCACCGACTCAGTTTAGAGTTTTCACCATCAGTGGAGAGGCAAACATCACGTGCTCAAGGTCTAGACCAGAACTTGGTTAACAATCACAATATAGTTGTAAATTCCATAGCCATTTACCCTATACTGGATCACCTAACTACATGAAGTCTAGTAAAAGGTTAAGATCTCCATGGTACCTTTTCAGTTTGGCAATTAGGATCACAGCTATGGTTTATGAAACGGCCCAAATTCCCTTTGGCGCATGCATCGATCACCTAAATAAAATCAGAAATTGCAATAAACCATGAATATAATACACACACACACACAATATAGCACAAGTAAACGTCATCTAACATGTGCAAGTTCACTCTTTTTTTTTTTTTGGCTGGAAGGTATCCCCATAAATTTTCACTCTAAATACCATAGATTTTCATTTTTCAAAGAGCTGGGATAAAGTTCAAAGCTACCCAACTACAAAATAATTCAACCATGCGTTGTGTAATTAATCTATAAAGATAAAATTCTTGCTTAGAGTGGGCAACGGGTGACCAGCAACTATTGCGAAGAACGGTTGCTGCTCACTCATCTAAAGCTATATTCATGCTCAAGCATTTCACCAATGCAAGATCAAAGCTTACGAGAAAGATATTAAACTTATCTGTATCCGTTAATGTTATAGGTGAGAATCTAGCAAAAATACACATGATGTCGCTGCTAGCAGAAAAAGTATCGAGAACCGGAATAAAGTCCAATTATCATTATGTTATAGATGCAAAATATGTGAAGGATGCCAGAATGAGACCCAAGGAACTGGGTTCATCAAGTGTTTTCAAATCTTTATGCAGCCGACGAATAAAATCATATTAATAAGCTTGCAATCAACAAAACATAGCAGATATCACCCAAATGGGTAATTAAAGCTTTTGACTGACCGGAGATCATCAAAATACCAGATCAAACTATTACCAAGTACACGAAAATTAATATCAAGAGTTGCACTACTGCAAAACTAACGCATTGGATCATAGACTATGTCAACAACTACACATATATAAAAAGAAGGATGATAATAAACCTCACTCCCATTGAGCGTCATGAAGTAAAAATGTCTGTGTCCCTGCAAAGCATACTCTTTCTGCCTTGTTTCATAAGCATGAATATCAAGTACCTGAAACATTCCCAAACGCGACAAATAAACAAAACTGAATACTCAGTTAACAGTGAAAATATATAATATACTATGATTACAACGCTCAAATTACCATCATTTGGTTACAACGCTCAAATTACCATCATTTGGTAGCATTTCTTGTGTCTTGACTAAGACTATATGAATACATAAAAAGTCCCCTCTTTAGATGATGAACGGTGACCCACAAGATAATAACTACCCAGTTAAATCAAGCTAAGAGTCCTAGTATCTGAGTTCTTCAGGCACCTCAGGTGACATAAACCACTGAGTACAGTTAATCAATGATCAACATTTAGAGGATGCTTGGATACAAATTCATCCAAAAAAATCCAATCATTTTTAACTCAACCATTTTTTTTAACTCAACCTTAACTCAACCTCACTATCATCTATATAATTAAATAATATCAATCAATCATTCTTACACACCACATCAACCTTAATTCACTAATCATTCTTTCATATTATTTTAACTAACTATCACATCACATCTTCTCTCTCATACTTTTACATCAATTTAATTTTAGTCATTTTATTTAAAATATTATTTTATTGTCCATTGCAAATGGAGCTGGAAGAGTCATTGTTGACAATTCTCCTGGCATAGTGCTAATAATGGACTAGATCAAAATGACTCAATTAAATTTTAGTGCTTCTTCTATTAGTGAAGTTTCTAGAAAAAAAAATATATCAAACGACACAATGCACATTGGGTCGCTACGGAAACAACCTCCTTGTATAATTACAAGGGTAAGGTCTGCGTACAAGGGTAAGGTCTGCGTACAGCCTCCTTCTTGTTGTTGTTGTTGTTGTTGTTGTATTTAAAATATTATTTTAATAAACACACTAACAACTAACCATACTAACTTTTTCAAATTTAACCAACCCAAACCATAAAATCCAATCAAAACCAAACTTTTATATATCCAAGCATCTCCAGCATTGCCTAAAGGGAAAGAGCATATAATAAGTTTGAATAATTGCCAACTGCCTTGATACACCTATCAAAGATCATAATGATCTCATTACATCTTGAAAAAGAACAACGTGATCATATTAGTCGAGTAAGAAAAAACGTTTCAATTTTCTCTAGCAAGAAACAGAAAGCATAAAAACTATATATCTTGATTTCAGGAAGATTCCTATGAATGCTGTGAGTAAATTCATTTTCAGCATGAAGTAACATAAACTGATCTCAATACACAATTGTACTATTCAATAACCATAAAAGGTGATTCGTGACATTCCTTGCCTAAAAGTTGAGCGTATTTAGTAAAAATATGTTAAGTTCATGATGTATTTACATCAGGTGCCAAATGTCTCAAGTACATAAGATCCAGGTTACCTCTCCAACATACTCTATGAGGAACTGCCCTTGAGAGATATCTTCAAGAGCTTGAATACCAAAACCCTTCTTTCCACACCTGAACCACTTCAATTTAGCATACTTACGCCTCTGGAACTGCAAGCAAATGCAGAAGGTACACCTCAGTAATTAGAAAGGGTATAAGTTGGAATCAAACCATCAATGAGAATTTGACACACCTGTTGATTTGAACAAAGTTCACCACATGGGCAAGTCCCTCGGCCACACTCAATATTGAGCATTCGGTTCAAACATTTAGCTCCACAACCCATTCTGCCATCTGCTGGAGGTTTGCAATGGCAGACCATCACCTGTAATGCACAAATGAAATAGGCAAGATATTCAGAACTTTTGGTTCAATAAACTCAAAGGTGAATGCAGGATGCATGACTTCATTTGTAATGTCAACACCAAAGAACTCAAAACCCATAAACTCATGCATAGGAAAAGAATGAAACATGGGAGAAAAAAAGTCCCAAGTATTTATTCTCCAAGTAATTTAATTTTATTCAATGCCAGCCTATATAATAATTTCATTTCAAATTAAATCATGAAGCATGACATCCAAATAATAATTCCCCAGGAAATTCATTAAAAGGGTGAAAGTGAAACAAAAGGTTCCTGCTTAGTGAAATGGCCAATTGGGACCAACAATACATTGACTACTAAACAAAAGAGAATTTAAACATCAACAGCTAACCATGAAAAGTCTTCTTACTGCACCTTTTCCCTTGAAAAGAATTGATCGAAGATGAGCTTGTGCAATTATTAAAGGTAACAAATGAATGAAATTAAATACTTTATGCACTGTGAACAAAGATTAATTCAGAACGATGCAGATCAAAATAAATTTACAGGCAACAAGGGAATGGGTTTTGGACGTGCTGATGGACAAAACTAAGCATTGACCTCATCGATGGTCTGAGTTTTGCGGCTTCGATGCAGAAACAAGTTGGACCGAATAAGTGACCAAGATGGTCGCTGTTGAACAGCTGAAACAGATAAAACAATGAACTCAGAAAATAAAAGGAACAAAAAAGAACTTACCAACTATGAGTGCAACGAGCATGTCAAAGTAGGCATAACACTGTTATCAAGTACCTTGGCAACGAATTTGATCAGATTTCTGCGTGGCATAACAAGTATCTTCCTCAGCATCAGATATTTCCAGCTCTTTATTTATTTCAGAATTGGACTTCTCTTGAGGAATTGAGCAGTCAGCAAAGTCTCTGTCTGTGTTATCTTTGCAAGTCCTGAAACAAGTTGCAAGTTATCAAATTTATACTCTGCTCTCCCAATTAAAAGGGATTGAATACATATTAAAACTCACAGTAACCATGACAGGCTTGAAAAAACAATGCCCCAACTCATAATTCATCGTAAACAAGACAATGTTCCATAACTTTCATTGACAATATGAGGTTTGACTTGTTTTAATAACTATCCCACTAGACTAGTTATTCCTAAGTTCCCTAGTTTTTAGCTATCGCTCCAAACAGAAAATATGTTAAGCAGCATCAGCTTATATGAAATAATAACTTAAGCATCTCAGAAATCCCAACCAACAACCAGCCAGCTAATAAAGATGATTAACCTGGTACATACATTTTTTTCTAGAATTTCTCCTGACCAGAAAGATCATAGAATCCCAGACACTTTCAACAATTCAAAGATAAGCACACTCGAAAGCAACATGGAGCAAACATGGTAACACAAGATAAAAAGTGCATCAGCTCCATGGAATATTCAACAAAAACAACAACATACCCAATCCCAACTGGTTGGGGTCTAGGGGTCCGTTGTACGCAGACCTTACCCTTGTAATTATACAAGGAGGTTGTTTCCGTAGCGACCCAAGGTGCATTGCGTCGTTTGATATATTTTTTTTTCTAGAAACTTCACTAATAGAAGAAGCACTAGAATTTAATTGAGCCATTTTGATCTAGTCCATTATTAGCACTATGCCAGGAGAATTGTCAACAACTCCATTTGCAATGGACAACTCCATGGAATATTCCTCACAGGAAATTTATGGACCAAATATGAGGCCAGGCATGCTTCAAATAGATACAAGAACCACCTCACATGTTCATATATGACTCTTCATGGCATGCTTGTATACTAAAATTCACCAAGTCCAAAAGGAGTGAATATTTATAGTAAGATGCTTTTCATGTTTGTGATAATCCTAGCCGTCTTGCTAATCACCAGATAAAAGCAATGCCTACCACCTAAACTACAAGCCTACAAGCTTTATGTGTAACGAGTTACAAAGACAAATCAACCAGATCAAACAGAAAAAAGATAGGAAAACATGCAGAGAAATCAGTGCACTCGTTGTTTACCATCCACTGTTTGTTGCTTCAATTTGATCAGCAAGTGTAGCAGGTATCCTCCGCCATTTTTGGCACTCATCACAAAGCACCCACGCATTCCTAGGGGGAGCATATTGTTCCTTGAGCTCACTAGAATTAAATTGCAAGCTGTTTGGTGATCCATTTGCACCCTTGCTCAGGTATCTGGTTTCTCCAAGTTCAGATAATGTTTGATTTCCTATAGAAATGATCATAATTTTGGGATAAGTTCCTATAGAAGTTTCAGATATTATATCCATAAGATATGAGACAGTAGACCCGGAGAATGACATAAGATAATTATAATTTCATTCGGTTTGTAGTTCATTCATATTTGGTTCTTTTTTTCTTTGGAAATGGATTACAAGAAAAGGGTAGAGTGGCACATTCACACACGTTGATTCAAAAAGAAAACTAGTACCTGGCACCAGATGGATATCCAATCCACTGAGGTCTCTGTTAGAGTCATTCTTCCATTCAACTTCATGCCTTCTTACTAATTCTTTCTTATCACCTTTCTTTTTGGAAGCTTTCTCTTTCTTGCTGGTCTTATCTGAGGTCTCAGACTTGCTCTTGCGCTGTCCCTTTGCCTTGGAACATTTAGAACTTTTTTTCCCATTGCTGCAAGGAACCAGATTGTCACCAGGCTGTAGACTTGAGGATTCAATTAGAGCAACATGCTGATAAGAAGTATTCGCTTCGGCACTAGTACAAACTTCGGATGTAATAGGAGTTCCTGAGTCAGACATCCTTGAACAGCGTGAGGGACCCTTTGGACCTTCATTGCTGCTATAGGTATTCAAATATGTTTTTGCAGTTAAAGTTGTGGAGGCGTCATTACAGTAAGACACATCAACCACTTCCTGTGCAGATTCAGGTTGCACGGGTGCTTTAGCGCTACTTGTGGACGTGGTATTTGCACCAGTGAGCATGCTTCCAGTGATACGATTACCAGACTTATCATTCTTCTTTCCTTTTCTGGATTTCTTTTGAAGGAAACCATCCACAACAGGAACATCAGGAACAGAGTTTGTAAGACATTCCTGGTTTATTCTCTCCACTGGAATAGTTGAAATATCTTGCTTGTTTAGAGCTTTTTCAAAAGTTGTAGCATTCAGAACCGAGTTTATAACTTCAGAATCTGGTGAAGTTCCTGGATCTAAACACCTATTTTCAGTGGAAGCTGTCACTTTATCAACCTCCTCATGGCTGACAATCTTTGATAAACCAGGAGCACTTGTCTGTGAACCATTCAAGTCTTCACTAACATGAATCACGCCACAGCTTTGGTTCCCAATTTTGATCTTTAAAGTGATGCGACCAGTCGGAGGGCAGCTATCCCAGACTGATTTTTTACTTTCTTTTGCTGTGTCAGCACTCTTCTTACATTGAGCATTTTGTACTATTCTTAGATTTTTTTCACTACCAACATTAGGGTCATTACCACCAGTTTCTTCAAATTCTGGAAACGTATTCCCGAGCAGTCCCCAAACGGAAGATCGATCCCGCTTGGTAAATAAAGTCCTCCTCCTTCGGAATATTTTCAAGGAATTCAAATCTAATGCTGAGTTATTTTTTTCTATCTTCCTAAAATTTATTGATTCATTCCGGATCTCAGGTTTCTGATTTACTTTGTTGTTGGTATTGCAGACACTCTTCCTCCGAGAAGATCTATATACAATTAGGGGATGATTTGGTTTTTGGTGTTTGTCAATATCATTGAGAACGTCAGCTTCACCATCCCTATCTCTGGACCGATCCTCAGTCCTGGGAAAATCAGGAGAATTTGATATACTAGCATCTTTTCCCACATCGGTATTCTGTTCTGGCTGGTCATATTCCCAAATGGAACCAAAGGCATCAGCTGTAATGGTGTCATTGGCTATGCCATTCTCCGATTCCGGAAGCTCAGCAAATTTGATGGAAGCAAGAGATGGAATAAGAACATCAGATGCTGAAACATCTAATGTGACTATTGCTGCAGACGATTCATCAGCTCTCACACCAGAGGATTGAGAAGGAGCTGGAGAAAAGCGTAATTTTCCCATGTCAAGATCGTGATCAATCCCAGGTAACTCTTCCTTGATTTCATCAGCATTATCACCAACTGATGTCTCAATAAACATGTTTATCCAGTTCACTGTGAATCTTTAGGCATGAAAAACAACCTCAGCAGCATTAATCGTGCAACCCATAGAACATTTCTTTCCCTGGATTGACTGCAGAACATGCCAAAAGACCTGCCAAACGATATAATCAGCATTCAGCAAGTAAATGAAAGCGAGAAAGACTAAATCTCACAATGGCGTAGATGGCAACCTAATAAAACTACCAGGCACACTATTTCACTATTATCAATACATGTAAACTGTAACACAGTAAAACTACCATGGTATACCAAACCACCAATTAATATGAACAAAGTTTAGCATAAACATACATTAATGCAAAACTTATGCAAGCACATAAATAATTCAAAAGTTGTCATCCAACCAAGCTATTATGCACAGGTAACTAAGCGTCTGAGCCTGACGTTACTTGAAAAAATATCTAACAACTCTGTAAGAGAAATAAACTCAAAAGCCATACAATTCTATTAGCTGAGCAGAGTCAGCAGACTGCCAAAAGTTTTTACGTAACAAGGCTAGATAACCATTGATATTTCAATATTACAATAACTAATGAATAAAATAAATAGCCCCCCTTTAGAACTCCATCGGCGATGTGCATCCACAACACAGAAACCACTGAACGAAATGAAAAAACAAACTAACGTAACACCACATACACATCCTTTCGAAATCGAATCAATAACTAAACGAAGGAAAATGAACAAACTAATGTAACACCACATACACATTCTTTCGAAATCATTCAATAACTAAACGAAGGAAAATTAACTGACCCACGTAGGAATGCGGATCATTACAGGCTTGCAGTTCTGTTAAACATGGGCCGAAAAACTATTGCATTGTCTCTCATCGTGATTGCAAGCATTCCAGCATAGACTCAACACGAAATCGAAAATTAAAAAACAGGGTTTCAAATCTTTAATCCTCAACACTAGCCCTAACAAATAATCGCCTCATAAACCCTAACTGAAGCAAAATCAAAGCCCCAATGAAGAAGCTGGAAATGCCAATGTCGAGCCGCGCAGACCCGCAAATCAAAAATAAAAAACACGCTGCATATGAATCGATGAATCAAACCTGTAAGGAGATCAACAAATGCGTCGAACACCAAACAAGGAATTTTTTTTTTTCATTCAATCATCCAACAAAACAAACACGCAAACACATACCTATGCATACGACACCTGCGTGATCGTATCTACGCCTCGCTGCGCTTATAGTTTCGCGTATTCTCGTTAGAGAGACGATTGCTCGGCGGTGAAAGCTTAACGGTTGGTTTGAGGGAGAAGAAAAGTTTCGAGGGAGAGAAAATTGGAGGTTTTTTTTTTCTTTTTTTTTTATCTATCCTGTTGACCGTGGAAAACACAGAGGAGGTACAACTCTGGATGCACGGCGTCCAACACGTTCATTGACATGGTCGGAGCCTTGAAACATTGCGGGGTGAGGGTATTATGGGAATTTACATGAATCAATGGATTGGTCCTCTTGTTGACTTCTAGAAAGAAAAAAAAAAGTTTAAAAAAAAGTGATTAATTTTTTTTTTTCCTTTTATTGATAAAGAACAAAAGGGGATTTTTGAATTATTGTTGTGATTCTTTTTTCCTTATTTGGACAATAAAAAATCGGGATGTTTGAATTGTTGTTATTTACACATACAAGTGATTACAGTTCGGTTCGTTTTATTTAAGAAATTGTGAATTGTTGTTATTTACATATGCTTATGAGCTCGACTCGACTCATTTGCCAAACATGAGCAAGCTTATTTAAAATTCGTTTAATTAACTGACCAAAACTTAAAGCTTGACAAATAGAATTTTTACGTAACTTTCTATAACTCGAACTCATTAAAGCTTGAGTTTGCATTCTCATAAAGGCTCAAACTTTGCTCGTTAATCTTGATAAAAGAGTCGACCTCAAACTTGTTTACAAAAAAGCTCTGAGTATCAACAGTTCAAGTTGCGAGTTTACACCTCCACCCTGTGATCTAGGAACCCTTTTCAAGCTAGAAAGAGAGAAGAAATAAGATACAACTTAATTCAGCATAAATGAATAGCCCAGCATGTAAAAAATAATGCAATATGCATAATTTTCAACAAATTGATCTGAATATATTAAAAGTTAGTTGATGCATATAAAGAGGTACTCAAAAAGAAAATAACAACAAAACATACATTAAATGTTAAAGAAAAAAAAAAATGGCTAGTTTAAAAGATACAACATTGCCTAAACTACAGAAGTGTGCCTGGAAAATTTTCAGCTGCTTTTCCAGTCTCCGAATGAGTGATATAGCAGCATGTCTCTTCAAGGATAATACAAGACTACTCTTAACACAGAGTAACAATAAGTGGCATTTTTATATCACTCTTCATAGCATGCAGTCTCGTCAAACCTCAAAATAACTCGAGTCCTCACAAATTTACGATACAAGACCAGATGGATTATCGCAAAAAGATTATGCCCGAGAGACTAAACGATCAGTTCGCCAGATTACGATATGTAAAATGCCCATAACTTCGACTTCCATCTGAACTTGATCAAAACAAAAGGATGTAACCAAAGCCCGTGTGTTCATACCGTCAATCTGCTTCTATTTTGACAGAATGAAATTAGAACCAATTCGAGACATCGAAATCACGAAGCTTCCTGAGATGCTTTTCCATATCTTCCCTACTTTTGGTCCATTCTTCCTTCTGGATGACCGTAGTTGGGTCGTCTCGTTCTTCCTGCAAAGAAGTAAAAGAGATAATGAGCCAGATGATTGGAGAAAGGACACTATCGAGAGCATAACTGTTGATTTTTATTTTTTTTGGATAATCACCGAGGGAATTATTTTGAAAGAGTTGCCGTTATCACGAACGACCAGCAAATCATTCCTTCTTTCTCGGTCTTTACCTTCCGGTACTGCCACCTGAAAAATGGTATATGGTAAAATAAGAATATAACTTATTACGAACAAGTAAATAAATAAGCAAGCCAACTTTGTCCGGATTTATTTTTTATTGTTTATTTTAAATACAACATACGAATGTTTAGTAAGACGAAAAGTGCATACCACAACTTTCGCCCTCGTGATTGATTTAGTTTTCGAATCAATTACATAAATTTCCTCAAAATCCAACACAAAATCCGGATCTCGCACCCGGCGATTCTTGTAGTGTTTTTTCAGGAAAACCTGTCACCAAGATGACACAATTTTCAAAAGACCAACAAAACAATTCCAAAATTCAAAACTTATCGTCAATCACACATCAAAAAAGCACCCAATCCACCCATTCATGGTAACATACTGAATACTATTCAATGGAAAATTGCTCGTCTTTTGGATAAAACTGCAACAGTTTTCCTGTTCCTAGCATCCCGGTCCGGGATCAAAGCATCGTCAAATCCATAATTTTACAATATCAATACGACAACTTAAGAACAGTGCACACATATTTGTGCATGCTCAGATTACTAGCTCGAAAAGAAGGGGCAGCATCGCCAGGCAGTTTGGAAAACCCAAGTAAAGCTATCTCAAAAATCCAACATACCATTGCACGAACAAAGTATTAGGAAAAAAAAGCTGAACTCTTTTTCGATGTAAGTGATACTGAAACTATAATTAATGTTCCCACACAGCAATTTAAAACATCAAAATAACCAAAAAGAGCTGAACGGCATTTGCTTTGCCCAAACCTTAAATATTTGTCTCTCTGATTTGTACAAGGGATCTCTGAGTGCGTCAACTGGAGGCTCTGTCACATTGTACCGGCCATAATCACTCTGCGCACACCGAATATACTGCACGCCCGACAAAGGAACTAACGTTCAATGAAAATGGGAAAATACTAACCAAATAAACTACAAGCGCATACACAAAGTACATCATGATTACATCGAAGAAAGCTATACGGACAACGGATGTTAATCAAGAAGTATAAAATGTTAAATGTAAATTGCTTACTTTCTGAGGCATAGGCGCAAGAACCTTGGGAATAGCGTACACATCAGTGTCTGGAGGCGTTACATACATCTACACGCAGAACCCACAAATAACAACACGATTCGTTACCATAACAGTTAAAGAAACATGATACAGCTATAACTCTTATATATATGGTTTAGGCTCGGGTTTTGAAAATGGCGAAAGTCCGTATCCGGTGTAAGCATGTTTTCCGAAATATAGAATTCTCTATCATTATACAATGACTGATTCGGTCAAACTAAGATGCACCACCGGTCCTTCAACTTCACAAATGAAGCAGATAAATCAGGGCAAAAGCACATAAGCACTACTCATCAATCATCATTTGCCAATACCTGTGTAACACACACACACACACACACACACACACACACACACACACCTGTTAACTGTTGTTCCTGACAAGATAAAACTAGTATAAGCTGAAGGTAAAACACCATAATACATGCCACAGAAAAAACAAGAGAAAGTGCTATCAAGCTGTAAACTTTCTTATGGAAGCATACAGTAACTCCAGCAAGAGAATCAATCAGAAGCTTGAGTAAGGAAGAAATATGGTTTCAAAACCATACCTCCCTAAAATCGTACACGTCGTTGTCCGGGTCAGGCGGCTTCCGGATGAAAAAATCACAATCCAGCAGACAAATCTTATGGAACTCGTCCTCGTTTATCCGGTAATCCACGATTTTCTCGGATTCCCAACCCTGAGTCGACACGAAGCTGCTGCTGTGCACCAATGGAATGTTGCCGTCGTCGCCTTCGGCGGCGACGAGCGCAGTGCCAGTGTCGTAATCGATGTCGAAGTCATTCTTATCATCAACCTCGTCCCCGTAAATTTCGTAGTCATCCGGACCATCTCCGTCTGCATCTCCGTCGTCCGCCCAGGCCCGGAAGTCGCGTCTCGAAGATACTGGCCGGGAAAAGCTCAGACACCGGAAATTTTTTGGCTTCGGCGTTGAAACCGAGCGGGCGGCACGAGGAATTACGGGGAAATGCGGCTTGAGGAGGAAAGGGGCGGCGGCGGTGATCATGGGTGCGCCGGTGGTGGGAATTGGGACTTTGGGCAACGGATAGGGTGGAAATTAGATATTTTAGTTGTGTTCAAGTGCGGCTCCGAACACGATAATGTGGTGCGGCTGAGGCTGCTTGCTGACCCGGGTTCAATCCCTAATAGCTGCAAATGGGGTGAATTATTTTGAGAAAAATACTACATGTACATAATAAAGGTAAAAGATGTACATAACACTCACATGGAGTGGGGTCCACTTGATTTTTTAATTTTAGTGAGTCTCATTCAATGTGAGTGTTATGTACAGTACACCTCTATGTACAACATTATGTACCTATAGCATTACTCAATGAAAAAATAATTAATATTTGCATTAGTAGCACTTGTATTTTATTTACGCATGTCAAAACGCGACATCAAAAAAAATTATTTCTTTTTCCAAAAAAAAAAGCTAAATAAGCAAAAATAATGTTTTATTTGTTTAGGATTTGTTATTTGGTAAATGAAATAATGTGAAAATTGTTATAAAATGCGATGAAAATAAAGAACACAATGTAAAAATCGGATACAAATTATTACAAGCTTTTCCTTTCTCTCTTCTTCTTTTTCGTACAACACTTTGTAAGATATTACTTGCCTTTTATAGGCAAAGTTTGGCACACAATTCAATACATCCTAATATAATAATGTAAATGATTAGTGGTAAATTCCACATCTTTACAATACTCCCCCTTGGAATTACCACTATTAAATGTGCGTTTATGTTGTCTCGTTAAAAACCTTATCTGGAAAAACCCTGTGGGAAAAAAAACCGAGATAAGGAAAAAAGAGTACAGCTGCACATACTCCTCCTCGAGTTATCATTTGTTCAAATCCCGAAGATGTCTCATTCCAATATTGTGTACGTGCTTTCGAAACATTGTCGTTGGAAGCGCCTTTGTAAACAAATATGCTGCATTATCGCTTGATCGAATGTATTGAACTTTGATTTGTTTGTTTCTTTCAAGCTCTTGCGCATATGAGAAGAACTTTGGCGAGATATGTTTAGTTCTGTCATTCTTGATGTATCCTTCTTTGGTTTGAGCGACACATGCTGCATTGTCCTCGTATATCACCGTCAGGTCATTATTATTCGATAGTCCACTGGCTTGCTGAATATGTTGAGTCATGTTTCTGAGCCAGATGTTTTCCCTAGTTGCTTCATGAAGTGCGATGATCTCATCATGATTTGAAGATGTCGCAACTAATGTTTGTTTCTGGGAACGCCAAGGAAATGCAGTTCCGCCAATCGTAAAAACGTATCCAGATTGAGATCTTGCTTTATGGGGGTCTGAGAGATATCCTGCATCTGCAAAACCGATTATTTCATGCTTTTTATCGTTAGAGTAAAACAGTCCCAAATCGATTGTCCTTTGGAGATAACAGAATATATGCTTGATTTCATTCCAATGTCTCCTCGTAGGTGCCGAGTTATATCTTGCTAATAAATTGGTAGCGAAAGATATATATGGTCTGGTGCAATTAGCAAGATACATAAGAGCTCCTATGGCACTCATATATGGTATTTCAGGAACAAGTATTTCTTCATCTTCTTCACAAGGTCGAAATGGATCCTTTTCAACATCTAATGTTCGATTGACCATTGGGGTACTAAGTGGATTCGCCTTGTCCATATTGAATCGTTTCAATATTCTTTTAGTGTAATTAGATTGATGGACAAATATCCCATTTTGGACTCGTTCTATTTGCAAGCCGAGACAATATTTGGTCTGTTCGAGATCTTTCATTTGAAATTCGTCTTTTAGTAAAGTGACTGCTTCTTGGATTTCATTTGTAGTCCCAATAATATTAAGATCATCGATATAGACAGCAATTATCACAACTCCATCTTCTGATCTTTTTATAAAAACACACGGGCATATTTGATTATTTATGTATCCCCGTTGCAGTAATTGTTCACTCAAACAATTATACCACATACGCCCGGATTGTTTCAAGCCATACAATGATCTTTGCAGTTTTATCGCACATAACTCTTTAGGTTTGGACTTTAGTGCCTCGGGAATTCTAATTCCTTCTGGAATTTTCATATAAATGTCAGCGTCTAGCGATCCATATAAGTAAGCAGTCACAACATCCATGAGACGCATCTCAAGATTTTCATGGATGGCCAAACTAATCAAGTATCTGAATGTAATTGCATCCATAACAGGGAAATATGTTTCATCATAATCAATCCCAGGCCTCTGGGAGAATCCCTGTGCTACAAGGCGAGCTATTTATATCTTGTGATCTCATTTTTCTCATTTCTTTTTCTGACAAAAACCCATTTGTATCCAATAGGTTTTATGTCTTTGGGTATAATGGTAATAGGTCCAAACACCTTTCGTTTATTAAGTGAATTTAACTCGGTTTGAATAGCACCTTTCCACTTGTCCCAATCATGTCTTTTCTGACATTCAATCATAGATATTGGTTCAGAATCCTCAACTTCTTTGTCAATTTCTTGTGATACCATATATGCGAACGCATCATCAATGATCTCATCACGCTTCCAAAGTTTCCCATTATTTACATAATTGATGGAGATTTCAATATTTTCATTTCGTTCTGAAATTTTTCCATCATCTTGATTCTTTTTCAAATTCGAATCTTGAATTTCTCTTTTCTTTCGAGGATTCTTATCTTTAGACCCCACTGGCCTTCCTCGTTTCAAGCGTGCCTTTAATTTATTTGGCACATCGTCATTTGCCATTTCTTTTGTAATCTCAATTCGAGCAGGGGCATTTATAGTTGCAACATGTGATTTTGTCACCCTTTTTGTGTCAGTAAATGCATCTGGCAATTGATTTGCAATATTATGCAGATGTATGATCTTTTGAACTTATTGCTCTCTTTGTTTGGTGGGAGGATCAAGATATGATAGTGACGATGTTCTCCATTCAATATTTCTTTCAATTGACTTTTCATTCCCACCTAAAGGGGGAAATAATTCTTCATTAAAATGACAATCATCAAACGGAGTTGTAAAAACATAACCGTTTTTGGCTCAAGGTATTTTATTATTGATGGAGATTCATATCCAACATATATTCCCAACCTTCTTTGAGGCCCCATTTTCGTACGTTGGGGCGGAGCAATTGGTACATATACTGCACAACCAAAAATTCTTATATGTGCAATATTTGGTTCTCGACCAGATGCCAACTGTAATGGCGAGTATGTATGGTGTGCACTTGGTCTTATGCGAATTAGATTATATGCATGCAGAATAGCATGTCTGACATTCATCATATTTTCATGCATTATGAGTGATATAGTGAGATGTTTGACCGTGATTATCGTGGGTTTGTGCACCATTTTGTTTGATTTATTAATCTATGATGGAGGTATATTTGTCGTTGGTTTTGCAAGAAATATGCCCGAAAAAACGTTAAAATGGAATCGGGACGAAAAACGATGAAAAATGGGGTGCAGACAGGCCACACGACAAGTGTGGATAGTGACACGAGTCGTGTGGGGTGAGAAAAATTGTTATTTTGGTGCGGCTTTACCACACGAGTCGTGTGGCACATGACACGAGTCGTGTGGGCTCACATGACTCGTGTGACGTATCGTGTGGGGTGCTCGTGTGACCCTGGAACTTTGCCGAAAATTGAAGAAAAGTCACCCGACTCGTGTGGCAAGTGACACGGGTCGTGTGACATTACACGGATCGTGTGACCCTGTCGTGTGACCAGTCGTGTGAGTCTGGGAGTTGGCAGAAAGTTAGTGAAAATTCACACGACTCGTGTGGCTTGTGACACGAGTCGTGTGACGCGCAGTTAAACCAGCGGAAAATAGGAAACCTGCGCGATTTAATCCCTTTTTCCACCCATATTTGCCCTACAGTATATAAGAAAGAGAAAGAACACGGTTTTGGGGACTTTTGGACACCATTGGAGGCCTAGAGAAAGCACGAAACACACGAGAAATTCGAGGAAGTGGAGATTGAAGATCCGGGAACTAACGGCAACAATAGTTCTTCTTTCTTTTCTCTTTTTCTTCTTTGTTGAACTCATGGATTTGTTTATTTTGAGTATTGAGAATATGTTTAGTAGCTAAATCTCTTTGGGATTTTAGGATTTGCGAGTACTCGGATTATTTTATGAAGTGATTTTGTTTATTCATTCCGTTCTATCTTTCGTTTATCAGTTTCTTGTGATTATATGAATTGTGTGAATATAGGGCCCGTATTTATGCATATTTGTGATTGGCTTGAGACCGAGAGGAGATAGTTAATTGCTAGAATTGGGAAATTCATAACGTAAGAGACTAAACAGACCGAGAGGTTGATAGGATCTTGCGAGGGAACTAGAATCTTAAGAGCTTATGGGAGTTAGTTGTTCATCTTGAGACCGAGAGGAGATAGATAGCAATTAATATCCACGATTTAACTTGTTCGAGAGAAAAGTGTAAATTACTTTAGCGATTGTCCTTACGATCGGTAGAATTAAATAAGGTTTGAATGGATAAGAAAACTTTGCTAGAATAATCCCGAGGAAAGCATAGCCTAGAATCTATTTTCTCATTCTTGATTTATTTAGAACAAGCCTTCATTAGTGTTAGAATAAATTTTTGCATTCATTCATTAGTTTAGAATAAAAAAACTCCATTCGAATTTGCATTAGTCTAGATAATATTTAATCGTCGATATTTTGGTACTTAATTGGTTTAAACAACAGTCTCTGTGGAATACGACCTTGCTCGCCGCTTTCTGCAGCTACTCCGTACACTTGCGGGTAGTGAAAATATTTTGCGAACAAGTTTTTTGGCGCCGGCACAGAGACTGTTGTTTAAACCAGTTAAGTACCAAAATATCGACGATTAAATATTATCTAGACTAATGCAAATTCGAATGGAGTTTTTTATTCTAAACTAATGAATGAATGCAAAAATTTATTCTAACACTAATGAAGGCTTGTTCTAAATAAATCAAGAATGAGAAAATAGATTCTAGGCTATGCTTTCCTCGGGATTATT